CAAATAACTATGTTTAGCTCTGAAACTTCTGCCTTGTAAATAAACTTCATTTCTCGAAATAAAAAACAAGTAAGAAAGTCTAAGTTCGGGCGGGGCCGAACATTAAATACCCGGCGCAAGTATTACATATATGCCTTTTCACCTTTCCGAAAGCTACCGCTACATGGTAAGCCGGGGTGTATCAATTTTGAATAAATTAGCGTCCTTAAATTTCGAAGTATTGACGTTTCAAGCATTTCTAAAACTTACCGTTATATGAAAAGCCATAATTTTAGTCCGATTTCAATAATTTTGAATAACCATACCGAGTTTGGTAGAAATTGGTAGAACGCTTACCGAGATACATATATGAGATCATAAGTGGGCGGTGCCACGCCCATTTTCCAAAATTTTATGATAAGCGTATTTCCTGGTAAAGAATTGTTGCAAGCATCAATTTTGAATAAATTAGCTTCAATATTTACTGATTTATCGAAGATTTCGTATTTCTCCAAATTACCGTTATATGGGATGTGGGCGTGGTTATTGTCCGATTTTTAAAATTTTCGGCCATTTGGTATCCTGTACCAAGGCCAATAACTGTGCCAAGTTTGGAAGAAATCGCTGCAGCGGTTGCCAAGATATACACATGTAACACTAAGTGGGCGTGGCTACGCCCATTTTTCAAAAATGTATAATATTCTTATTTTTCGTCTAAAAGTTATTGCAAATATCAATTTTGAGAGAATAATCTTAAGTAGTTACTAAAATATCGCAGTTTTCGTATTTCTGAAAATTACCGTTATATGGGAGGTAGGCGTGGTTATTGTCCGATTTTACACGTACCAAGTTTCGTTAAGATATCTTAATTTTTACTCGAGTTATCGTGTGCACAGACGGACGGACAGACGGACGGACAGACAGACATGGCTTAATCGATTTCTTTTTTCATCCTGAGCATTTATGTATACATTTGTCTATATCTATCTCGATTCGTTTTGGCTGTTACAAACAACCGTTATGTGAACAAAGTTATAATACCCTTGTGCACAAGTGCGCTCGGGTATAAAAACTTGCACACTAAAGGCCAGTATGCAGCTCTCAAGAAAACGGTAAAGAAAACAAGTAAGAAAGTCTAAGTTCGGGCGGAGCCGAACATTAAATACCCGGCGCAAGAATTAAATATATGTTTTTTCACCTTTCCGAAAGCTGCCGCTAGATGGTAAGCCGGGGTGTATCAATTTTGGGTAAATTTACGTCCCTAAATTTCAAAATATTGAAGTTTCAAGTATTTCTGAAATTTACCGTTATATGAGAAGCGGCCGTTATTTTAGTCCGATTTCAATAATTTTCAACGTTTTGCTTATATGTGGCAAGCACAATAACCACACCGAGTTTGGTACAAATTGGTAGAACGGTTACCGATATACTTATATGTGATCATAAGTGGGCGGTGCCACGCCCATTTTCCAAAATTTTACCATAAACGTATTTCTTGGTAAAGAATTGTTGCAAGCATCAATTTTGAATAAATTAGCTTCAATATTTACTGATTTATCGAAGATTTTGTATTTCTTTAAATTACCGTTATATGGGACGTGGGCGTGGTTATTGTCCGATTTAAAAAATTTTCGGCCATTTGGTATGCTGTACCAAGGCCAACAACTGTGCCAAGTTTGGAAGAAATTGGTGCAGCGGTTACCAAGATATACACATGTAACCATAAGTGGGCGTGGCTACGCCCATTTTCCAAAAATTTATAATATTCTTATTTTTCGTCTAAAAATTATTGTAAATATCAATTTTGAGTGAATTATCTTCAGTAGTTACTAAAATATCGCAGTTTTCGTATTTCTGGAAATTACCGTTATATGGGAAGTGGGCGTGGTTACAGTCCGATTTCGCCCATTTTCAATACCAACCTACCTTGGATTAACGGAAACCTACATACAAAATTTCGTTAAGATATCTGAATTTTTGCTCGAGTTATCGTGTACACGGACGGACGGACAGACGGACAGACGGACGGACAGACAGACATGGCTTAATCGATCTCTCTATTCATTCTGAGCATTTATGTATACATTTGTCTATATCTATCTCGATTCGTTTTGGCTGTTACAAACAAGTGCAAAACCGCGTATGTAAGGTCACCAAGATTTTACAGGAGAGAGTAAAAATATATGCTACTCTTTATCAGCGGTATTGCAACTATGCTGTTATTTTTCAGCGCATAGTCTAATATCGATATCTTGGTATGATTAGATAAGGCTTTATGGCTGGAGCTTCCTATGAGTAAATCAAATTTTTGGCACAAATACCAATTACGCGGTTTTGCAAAACGACGATAGGCGGTTTTGCACTTTAAACGACGATATGTAAGTACATATGAACCAGTGGCGTAGCCAGGGGGGGCTTTGGGGTTTGGGGGATAGATCCCCCCCCCTTCGTCAGTGAAATTAAACTTTTTATTTTTGAATTAATAACACAATACGTAGGTACACTTACATATTTTACACTTTTAACATAAATGTCAAGGCAGAAATTTTAAGATACACTTCTTAACAAACAAATTTTTTTAAGTTATTATGAATGGATAAAAGAGGCATCTTCTTTGAATTCAGTACTAAAACTTGACGTTTCAAGTCCTTATCAAAACTTTATACATGTTAACTAGCTAGATCGGCCATTTATCTTAAAATTATATAATTTTAATTGTTTGTTTATAAAAATGCAGTTTAACTTTAACAAAACCCGTATAAATCCAAGGTTTAATCTTTGCCCAACATTAACAAAATCAACAAACTTTCATAAAGCTTTTTAATTAGATTTCCTATAAATACATATTTTGAGTAGGCAGTTTTGTAGCCCGATCAATTCAAATAAAGCGCAAGTTTAAAATACATAGCTGCGACTTATCGTTGATTTTTGATATATTTAGTTTTTTTTGATGAAGGCGTTGCTCATTTTTAACCGACTTACAAAAAAGGAGGAGGTTATCAGTTCGTCGGAATATATTTTTTTATGTATGTTATCGCATAACTTTGGACCACGTCAACCGATTTCGATAATTCTTTTTGCATCGGAAAGGTGGTGTCTCAGAGGTGGTCCCATACTAATCTGGTTGAGATCCGATCAGTGGATCATGAGATATATATATATATATTTTTTTTTTATATGGGAGTTGAAGTCGGTTTTTTTTTTTGCTAAAAATTACTTGTCTTCATTAAAAAAATCGTCGAACATACTTAGATAATATGGAAGAAAATTATCGACATCGTCAAAAATATACCATACAGCAACTGAAAATCACAGCTAGTTTAAATTTGCACTTTATTAGACTAAAATTGAATGAGCTAAAAAACTGCAAAATATTAAGAGATAAAATTGAAATAGAAAGTTCGAAATATTTGCGAAAGTTTGTCGATTTTTTTTAATGTTGTTCAAAGATTAAACTTATTTTCATTAAATGTTTGTTAAGGAATAAACTATATTTTTATAAACAAATAATTCAAATTAAAATATAATAAAATGAATAGTCAAATCTAGTCAATATGTGAGTGTCGTAAAGTTATGATATTTAAGAACATCTCTTTCTTAATTAACGATGACACTGTATCTATATGAAGCTGATTTTAACATTTTGTTTTAATGAAATTTTGTATCGAAAATATTCTTTCAAAACTTGCCTAGTAATGTGATAAATGGTTCGTTCAAAACCTTTTTTCAAAACTTACAAAGGCAAAAACGAGAAGGCGAAGACAAAAAGAGAATAAAAAAAATTCCCCCAGTGAAAACGGTATAGTAATTTAATTTTTTAAATTAAAATAAAGCATGAATACCCCATGGAATAAACGATTAGATAAAAATCATATAACGGTAAAACTGACACATACATAAATATATGAAAGAATGCACTCAGCCGACGCTTTTAGCCGTTGTGTGTCACAAATTTAAGTTATCGATGGAAAGCCAAATCCTGGCTACGGCACTGATATGAACAGTTAAAAAATCCACCAAAACCCTAACTTTCCAATACAAATAAATATATAAAGATAATCAACAAAATCATACAAGTATGTTTAGTTAGTGGTAGTAACGCAAAAAGATTCCAAATAGTTGCATTTAATGGGATCGAAGTTTACCAAAAATACCAAAATACCAAAATTACCAAAAGTGTTTTCGGATTCAACAAAACTTCCAAAGTAAGAAAAACTGAAAGCGTAAAATGACATTGAGATCTGCAAATTTCTGCTTGAAAAATATTTACTTGCTAAAACTTGCAAGTAAGAAAATCAGCTAATCACAAACAAATGTTCGTGAATTAACAAAAGAAAAACCCTATTTTTGAATTATTTATTATATTTATTTTATAATTATTGCTAGCATACAATCAACAAGAAAGTAATGTTAATAAGCACAAGGATTGTTGAGTTTATTTTTAACTAACTTATTATTAATCTCCGGTTTTCTCATTTTAGTGTGTGTTAGCTGTGGTTACCGTATACAAGTTTTCAACTGTTTCATATTTTTCTCTGAAACGTCTAAATATACCAAAATAGATAAAAATGTTCAAATGTTTTGGCCGAACCTGCCAGTTGCTAGTTGAAAAGAAAATGGCTTAATTGTAAAGGCACGCACGTTTGTAACTATAGGTATCTACTTATTTTTTTTTTAGAAACAAGGATGGGTGTTTGGAGGAGATTCTCTTATTTTTGAATGCATCGTTATGTGGTATCACAATTAATTTAGAGAAAAATTACTTATTCATTACGAGATAATTCATTTATATTAGTGGTTCAAAAAAATGTTTTTTTTCTGGAAACTCATAAACGCTTTTTCAAATTATTGTTATTTGTGATAAAAAAGAGAAACGTGTTTTTTTATTTTGAAAAAAAAGAGTTTTTTTAGAGGTCACGCTGGTCGGGTTTTTAAAAAAACGCTGAGGTTCGCAATTGTTTTATTTTCTTGACATGTTAAAGTGCAGCTAAAAATGTGGTTTTTACATATAATTACTCTGGTATTATTAGGGAACATTCCCTTAATTATATACCTGTCTTGGGCAGCTAGAATGGGCCTAGTGCCCGAAATATGCGGTGACCGTCAAGGTGTTCGGACGTGTATACGCTGTGTTTGCGATATTTGTGCTAAATTCGGTTGTATTTTGCTTTAAAATGCCCTGTGTTTGCGGTCAGAAAGTTGACCGCGGGCTGCCTAAGATACGGTGTGATAATTGCAATGAATATTTCCACCTTTCGTGTGTTAAATTATCGCAAGATGATGTTGATTTTTTGCAAAAAACCAATCACTCATTTTATTGTGAAATCTGTACAAAACGGCGCCGCAATTCTTTTCGTTCGCTGTCTCCATCTCTTGTACCAACAAAATCAGTAACGGATTCAGTAAATTCTCTTGCTGCTGCTGTTAATCAACCAAAGCAACAGTCGCAGAATGCGAACTCAACTAGTGTATTACCAAGGTCAGAGAACGTAAAGCATAAACAACAATCGCAGAGTTTGAATATGATGAGTGCAATACAAAAACAAAACTTCGATCACCCGAAAGCTACTGTATTGGAGTCAATGCTCAAGTCTGTGCTTGATGAAGTCGTTGGTCTTAAAGCAGAGAATTTGCGAATGTTCTCTTTGCTGCAAACATTGTACGATGATAAGAACATCTTGTTAAAGAAAGTTGATGATCTCCAAGCTGAGCTGGGCACTTTGATGAGTATAATACGCAAAAAAAACTGCACTCTTGCTGTGGACGCTGCTGATATTGAAAACATCCCTCCGGCTGCTTCTGTTATCTCTACTGTTGCTGGTACCATTGCCGTTGACGCCGCTGTTGAAGTTGTGAGTGAAACCGCCGCTGACGCTGCTGCTGCCGTTGATAACATTCTCTCTACTGCTACTTCTACTAGCAATGCTGCTCTGCCCACAACTAATATGCTCTATTCAGATGTCGTTGGTAAAATTACTGCTGCTAATACTAACGCTGAGACTGTGACTGTTATGGCACCTGCACTCAACCGTTCTCAGCCTACATCTTCTATCGCATCGAAGGCTCAGTTGCCTGCAGTTGGTGTTAGCGCAAAAAATATGAATACTGTACAACAAAATAAATTACCCAAGCGTCGTATTCTAGTTGTTGGAAATAATAATAATAATGATAATGTCGAACTTGATGTTGTTATCAAAAAGAAGTGGGTGCATGTATCGGCTTTTAAGCCAACTGTGACTGCTGATAGTATCATTGCTTATGTATCAAAAAATTCTGGCGTCGATAGCAAACATCTTGCGTGTTTCAAACTTATAAAGAAAGGTTCATCTCTCGATAACATTCGCAGTGTAAATTTTAAATTTGGAGTTTTGCCATCATCTTATGAGAAGATTATGAATCCTAATGTTTGGCCTTCGGGAATTAGTATTCGCCCATTTCAAATTTTTCAAAGGGAAGGAACCACTGAACCGACCAAATAGCTCTGCAGATATAAATTGCAAATCTCGTAATCTTAAAATCTATTTCCAAAATATGTCTGGAATGCGTACTAAAACGAAGGAAGTGTATTTAGCGACCTCGCGAGCTGAATATGATATTTATGTATTTGTCGAAACCTGGCTTAACTCAGACTTCTTTGATGAAGAGTATTTTAATCCAAATTTATTTCAAATTTATCGAAAGGATAGAGACGCTATAAAAACTGGTCACCGTAAGGGCGGTGGTGTTTTAATTGCCGTTAAAAGCTGTTTACGTTCTTCAAATATTCAACTATTGGATGCGGACTCTCTTATTGATCAACTGTGTGTGTGTATTTTTGGCCTTGCTCGTAAATTACTGGTATGTGTGTCTTATGTACCACCAATTAGTACGGATGATCTGTATAGTTGTCATGTTAATAATATAATGCATCTTGTTGAGCATAATGAGAATTGTAATTTCTGCTTCTTAGGTGATTTTAATCTCACTGATTTGAAATGGTCATATTTGCAAAACAATGATATTTTAACTCCAACAAATATTAATAGATAGATATTTTTTCCATTGAAGATAAAAATTGCGACTCTTTCGACTTTCGTGGTGCCGATTATAATGAATTAAATGCTGCTATTTCGGATGTAAATTGGAAGACTATTCTGAATTCGCAAGATGTCTCTTTGTGCTTTGAATCTTTTCTACATAAATTGACTGAATTATTCACTAATAAACTTTCACTACTACCGCCTCGACTTCATAAACTCCCGTGGTATACTAAAAATCTTAAAGCTTTAAAAAACAAAAGAAATAAATACTACAAGCTTTATAAGGAACGCAACATCATTAGCTTTAAAAATAAATATTACTATTATATGAAGCAATTTAACGTCTTAGACAAATTTCTATATAATAAATATATAAACAGATTTGAATCTGAGCTGAAAGTAGACCCCAAGGCCTTTTGGAACTATATTCGCTCTAAAAGAGGTGGGTCCAATATTCGAACTTGTATGCACTTTAATGGGAAGAGCTCACAGTCGCTTACCGATTCTGTCAATTTTTTTGCAGAGTTTTTTAAATCGAATTTCGTTACAGATGACGAGTTTGTTAATACTTCAGTAAATTTCCCTCCTCATTCTTCCTTAGATTTTGGGTCTCTAACCTTAACAGAGTTAGATATTTCGATTGGTATTTCCTGTCTTAAATCTTCCATGAAAAGTGACAATGATGGTCTTTCTTCATATTTTTTAAAGCAATGCGTCTCATCCATCTGTGTCCCATTATGCATAATTTTTAATCTTTCTCTTTCATTAGGCATTTTTATTGATCGTTGGAAGATTGCATCCATTACCCCAGTTTTTAAGTCTGCAAGTAGGAATGATGTCTCAAATTATAGGCCTATTTCCAAGTTAACAGCTTGCTCCAAACTTTTTGAAATAGTCGTCAAAGATAAGCTTTCTTTCGCTACTAAGAGCATATTAGAATCTCGTCAGCATGGTTTTGTTCGCGGTCGCTCAACGGTTACTAATTTAGTGACTTTTTCGGAATATTGTGTCTCATCCTTCAAATGTGGGTCTCAGGTGGACACTATTTATACAGACTTTTCCAAAGCCTTTGACAAAGTTTCCCATTCTATTTTGTTACGTAAGTTGGAGAGTCTTGGTTTTCACTCGGTATTTTTGTCCTGGTTGAAATCTTATCTTTCGAACAGATTGCTGTTTGTTGAAATTGAAGGTTACAGATCTAACAGCTTTATTGCAACTTTCGGTGTACCACAGGGTAGTGTCCTTGGCCCTCTGTTATTTGTTTTATTTATAAACGATATTGGGAACTGTTTTAAATATTCCGAGTTCCTCCTCTACGCAGATGACCTTAAACTCTTTAAAAAAATTACTTGTGTCTCTGATACACTTTATGTACAACATGATCTGGATAATGTTATTATTTGGAGTCGGGTAAATAAATTATCACTGAACATTAATAAATGCTACCATATGACCTTTTCTAGGTCTTCAAACATCATCAGCCCGACTTATAGTATTTTGAACCATAAACTGACCTCAGTCAATGATTTTATAGATCTGGGTGTTGTGTTTGACTCGGGTTTCACTTTTACAAATCATGTTAATTACGTTATCCCGAAGGCTTATAGCAACTTAGCATTTCTGCGTAGATATGCTAAGGATTTCAAAGATCCTTATACCAGGAAAACTCTTTTCAATGCGCTGGTACGTTCTAAATTAGAGTATGCATCTATAATATGGAATCCAATATATAGCCTTTATGCTAGTAGGCTTGAAAGAGTCCAGCGCAAATTTGTTCGCTTTGCCCTACAGCCGCTTAACTTTTCTGAGCCTTTACCGGCCTATAATTCTCTCTGTAAGCTTATTGATGTAAAATCACTGGAAAGTAGAAGACTTATCCAGTCACTGATGTTTATATATGATCTGGTTAATGGATATATTGATTGCCCTGTTTTACTTAACCAGATTTGTTTCAATGTTCCAAACAGAATTTTGCGTTTTCAACTACCTTTTCATATGCTTCCAGTTAAGGCAAATTACTTTACTCTAGCACCAATATATAGAGCCCTCACAGAGTTTAATAAAATCTCAAAAATTGTAAATATTGAGTTTTCATTGCCGAGATTGATATTTAAATCTAATATTGAAACATTGTATAATTAATATAATTTCTATTATTCTAACCTATTATGTAATCTAGTCTGTAAGATTGTTAAAGTCATAGACTAAAATAAATGAAATGAAAAGAAAAGAGACTAGTAAAATTAAAACTTTGTTACTGAACGATTTACGCGTTGTCATGTGTTGGAACTTGTTACCGCGGGGTTCCTGGGGTTCCTAATTAGGAATCTGAAGTCAGTTTTTCAAAATTCAAATGGTGGATCCAAAATGGCGATCAATTTTTTTAAAAATTGATTGGATTTGTTCGAAAACCGGCACTCGAGAGTTTTTGGGGTCGACGTTTACGTATCTGGAGTAAATTTTTTATAAATTCAAAATGGCGGATGCAATAGGCTATCAAATAAAAAAAAACACTAAAATTAAAGCGTGGATACTGAAAGCTTTAAGCATTGTCAAGGGTTGAAACTCGTTTCCAGTGGGTTTCTGAGCTTGCTGATTACAAATCTGTTGTCAGTTCTGTTCTCGAGTGCCGGTTTTCGAATAAATCCAATCATTAAAAAAAAATGGATCGCCATTTTGAATCCGCCATTTTGAATTTTGAAAAAGTGACTTCAGATTCCTAATTAGCAACCCCAGAAGCCCTTTGGTAACAAGTTCCAGCCCATAACAATGCGTAAATCGTTCAGTATCAACGTTTTAATTTTACTAGTGTCTTGTTTTCGAGAGAATATTTTCGGGGACTAGGCCCATTCTAACTGTCCAAGACAGGTGTGTAATTAAGGGAATGTTCCTAATAATACCAGAGTAATTATATGTAAAAATCACATTTTTAGCTGCATTTTAACACGTCATGAAAATAAAAAAATTGAGAACATCAGCGTTTTTATAAAAAAAAAAACCGACCAGCGCGACCTCTAAAAACAATTTTTTTTTAAATAAAAAATACGTGTCGTTTTTTTTATCACAAATAACAATATTCTGATGTAGCGTTTATGAAATTCCAAAAAGAGTATTTTTATGACCACTCTAATTTATATGCTATAAACGTCTTTCTCATCCAAAAGAATTCAATAGTAAAAAAACCCAAATCTGGACAATGTACCAAATTTTGCGTTCTCGTACTTCTGCATATTTTGTCTCTTTGATGGCCAATGCTCAGAAATTTAGCTGCTGGATAATTTTGTCTGGAGAATACAAAAACACTCCTAGACCCGTACAATATCAAAAAGTTATTACGAATTGTTACCAGTACTTGCGCAAGTTTTTGCTGGAAATGCGTTCAATAACGCCAAAAATGTACAAGAGGGCGAATTCGAGATCTTAACAACCCGATAGAGCTACAAATTGTGGGAAGAAAATAGTTTACTAGCAGGAATTTGCAGCTGTTAAAAAATCGGTAATGTGTCAATTTCAAATTTAACGAAAACATCCTTAAAACAAAATTAGTGAAATGAAAATATCGTTAAATAATTAAAATCTAAGATAGATTGTTTGATTTTTATGAAGATGGGAAATATTCCGAATCTAAAGGAAAATACGCGCCAAAATTTAACCGCTTTGCGTTCAATAACTTTTTCTGATAATTTTCTCTTCCTCTCAGTTTTACTCTCTATGTTTCTTTTAGGATCACGCTGCAAGTACTTACTCGAAAAGTTTATGAACGAGCAGCTGTTTGTTGATTTTAGCAAGGCTTTTGTTTGTAATAAACACCACGTACCTATGTATGTACATTAGACTGCATCACCGAAAAAAGTTGCGGGTTTTCAGCCGGGATTACAAAATTTATTATATTTGAAGATGTCCACCAAAATATTTCGGAAAAATATTAGATTTACGTGAGCTAGACCGATTTGAAAATATCTCCAAAAATGGAGTTTTCTTATGAATAAAAATAGTTTCTTAAAGAACTTTTTGAAAAAATCCTTTCAGTTGACAAAACAGGTTAAGCTTAAAAATATTTAAAAATCTTTTCAACGGAATCGTAATAATGAGATTTTTGATGCTGTTTTTTAACATTTTTCAAAGATTGATTTACGAAAACTTGAATAACTGGGCCAAAACTATTCCGATTTAGACTTATGAGGTACCTGTATTTTTTCACACCTTTTTTTTATGTGCAAAAAACTCATTCACGTCCCAATTTTTTTTCAAATGCCAACACATCTTAATTCAACTTGGAATGACACTCATCCTGCCTTTCTCTTTCATGCTTTGAATGAGTTTATTAGCAAAGAAGTAAAAAGGGTGAGAAAATACCTTTCCAATGATACCTCACAAGCTTAAAGCGGAATAGTTTAGGTTTAGTTACTCAAGTTTTTCTTATACTAATCTTATATGCATATACTTTTTAAACTCTAAATTTAGGTGGCAACCCTATTTCGAAATATGCTGGAAGGAATGGTACATATCTTGCATTAACTACCAAACACAGACTTTGCTTTGCCTAAATCGGCTTTTATTAAAGTCCTTAATTTAATCGCTTGATTTGTATATTATTTTGTATTATCAATGACTTATCTCTATCCAATACATTTTTTAGTCTGTAAGGTACATTGTACTGTAGATTTAAACATAAATAAATAAACAAATAAATGAAGAAATAAAAATAAATATCTTGGGCGTATATGTACTGTGTATACATTAAAAAAATGCTGATTGAAATTAATAAAATACAAATTTTTATTACAAAGAACCGTGGCAACCCTGATGGAAAATATTTTCTGACCAAAGTTCTCAACAACACCTTTCATTTGATATCCATATTGCGATGTTTTAGAGAAATTGTGAAGAATCGAAAATAAGTGGCAACCTTACCCTATTATCCTAAGGGATAACATTTTGTATATATGGAAAGCATTGTTTAATAACCTTCTCTTGGTGGTTGAATAGTAATATTTTACCTTTTCTTCTAAACAAAAATTTAAATAAATATACAATTCAAAATAGGTGGCAACCCTGTTAAAAATATGTATGAATTAGGGATCTTTAAAATAACTTCCATTTGATACCCTTATTATGTTTTAATTAATTTGTAACTAATTTCGAGCAGGTGGCAACCTTATACGAGTCTTCTCGGAGATATTGTCTATTCAGATAACATTAAGATTCAAAATATTATCTGTGTAAAAAAATTCATCAAAATCGTTAGAGCTGTTTCCGATAACCCTATGGCTTT